CTTTTACTGGTTTTATTTTTCCTTCCTTGCTTGCTTTTTATTGTTGTTGTTGTTTTGTTTTTTGAGACAAGTGTTCTCTATATATCCCTGGCTGTCCTGGAACTTGCTCTATTGACCAGGCTGGCCTCAAGCTCACAGAGATCCACCTTCTGCCTCCTGAGTGCTGGGATTAAAAGTATGCACCCCCCCCCCATTGGTTTTACTTTTTGAGATAGGACCTCACAGTGTAGCCCAGGCTGGACTAGGACTTACCATCCTCTTGCCTCCTAGGGAGCTCTTTGTACTTGTCAGTGCCTCTGCTTGGCCCAGACAACCACTCAGTAACTCTGGGAGACAGGACCCAAGCAAACAGAGAAATCCTTTCTTTTCTCTGAAGTCTTCTAGGTGATTCTAGGACACAGGGAGGGATAAGACCTTCTGTTGTCTATATAGCTATAAAACATCTCCAAACAGCTCTCTGTGTCGCTTTATACTTTAAGTGTTACAGTAATTATGAGAGCTGTGCTGAAATGAAGAGAGAAGAATTATGGGTGTGAGGGTGGTTTGAAGGTTTCCTTAAGTCTCAGCTTTAAGTCTCTTTTGTTACAATGGTTTGTGTTTGTGGTTTGACTAAAGAAACTTAATGCCAGACAGATTCAAAATAAAGTTTTCTTTGAATCTCATCAAAGCCAAGTAACTGAGTGCCAGCCACTGTGTGGTGAGATCCAACATCCACCTATGAAGGTGCTTGCTTGGGAAATGATCTGTGCTGAAAGCATTAATCAACAATTTTGGAAATGACTGCCCCTCACCCTGGCAACCTGGAGCCAGAGTCGATAGTGTGCATCTTGAGGGCAATTAGTAAATTCTGTGCACTAGAGTAGACATCCATATTGTTTTGTTGAGTGTGTGTGTGTGTGTGTGTGTGTGTGTGTGTGTGTGTTGGGGGTTATGCATCCCCCTGATATGTGTGTGGAGGCTAGAGGACTACCCACAGGAATTGGTTCTCTGTTTCTACCATGTGGGTTATAGGTACCCAAGTCATCAGCTTTGGTAACAAGTACCTCATCTGCTGAGCTGTCTCACCATTCTATGTACCAGTATTTTAGGGCTATAGTAGCAGCCCCCTACCTGGAGAAGCTTCTCAGGTCAGTGAGTCCTACCAGCCACATCTGGAAGGTTAGAGGTCTTGACAGTAATGAAGGTTCTGGTTCCCAGTCAGCTCTGCCAAAGCTGTGCCATCTTGGACAGCTTACTGTATCTTAGAGAGTATGAATCTGTCTCGTAGAGTGATGAGTAGTATAGGGTGGAAGGTAGGGTAAGTTTCCCTTAGTTCTCTCTTCTCTCTGTTCATTGCCACAGATCATGTGGTCATAGCACAATGTGCAATATGAACACGTCAGCACCAGACCACGATGACTTGCCACATGCCCATGTCCGCCCTCCCTTGCAGGCCAAAATTAAGTGTGTGGTGTCAAGAGGAGCAGGAGGGAGGGACCTGTCTGCAGAAGTAACTGCAGATGGATGGAGTAGTGACAGCTTGGATTTCTTCGCGCTCCTCTCCAGTCTTTGGTGCCTTGGTGGTTCACTCTTTCTCATCAACACATAGGGTCTATTCTCCAGCAGAGATGGTGAAAAGGGTGGGCACAAGTCACTGGGGAATCAGATTGCAATGGCAATCTGGGGTGCCATTGCAGCGTGCAGCTCAGAAGGAAGCTGACTTTAGGTCTCTAGGGCTTTTGGGCAGTGGATAGCCATGGCATTTCTTTTCCTTTACAACAGTGGACATTTGAGTGAAGTGTTTCTTGTGATAAGTTTGCATGGAGATTCTGAGAATTCTAGAATCTACAAACAAACATTTAGTTAGAGAATATCTTTGATTTATTGAAGGAGAATAAAAATGTCCTGACCAAAATTACCTTTCTAGTTTTCCATTCTTTTCTTTATCTGTAACTACACCGCTTATGGGGTATGTACAATGTACAAACACAGAGAGAGAGAGGGAGAGAGAATCACACATGCCTTTGATTACAACACGTGGGAGGCAGAGGCAGGTGGATCTCTGAGTTCAAGGTTAACCTGGTCTACAGAGAAAGTTCTAGGACAGCCAGAGTTACGCAGAAGAAACCCTGTCCTGAACAACAAATAAACAGAACAAGTAAGAAAGAAAGAAAAATGAAGGAAAGAAGGAAGGAAGGAAGATAGAAAGATGTTGTTTCACATGCTTCTGACTGTCCTGGAGCTCACGAGATAGACAAGGCCGGCCTCGACTGAACTCTTGCTTTTTCTGCCTCTGCCTTCTGAATGCTGCGATTAAAGGATGTAACAAAATGCCAGCTAAATTTATGTTTTAATCCGAAAACCCTGGTGGTGGTGCCTCAAGCCTGCAATCCTAGTACTCGGGAAGCAGAGGCAAGCAGACCTCTGTGAGTTCCAGGCCAGCCTATGCTATATAGTGAAACCCTGTCTTAACAAAACCAAACCAAAAAGAAAACCTGAGCAGTTATTTTCCATTGCCGTGACAAAATAGCCAACAAGAGCAACTTAAAGAATAGTTTGTTTTGGGCTTCCAGTTTGAAAGTTCAGGACCTTATAAGGCTGGAGGCAGGAGCATAAGGCAGCTATTACATGGCCCCCCAGTGAGGAAGCAGAGTGACATGAATGCTGTACTCAGCTATCCTGTTCAGTTCAGTCGCTTCAGGACAGCACATCCAGTTAGGGTGAGCCTTTGCTCTTCAGCAAAACATTCCTGGGACCTCCCTCATAGATGCCTGCTGCTAGGTTAATCCTTATCTGTGTTGTCTGACACTGGATCCAATCTTAAGTGTCCTTTCAGAGAGGGTCACTTCCTATACCTAAGAGGCAGGGCGCACACAGGCAACGAGAAGATCCTAGACAGACAAATAGAAGTTTTCATTTTGTCTTTTAGCATAAGAACATACTAACAGCTAGGTACGGCAGCCTATCCCCATGCTCCCAACACGCAGGAGGCTGAAGCAAGAGGATTGATCGCAAAGTCAGAGGCCAATCCAGTCTACAAAGAGACCTGTCTCAAAAACAAGCAAGCCATATTCTCTAATCCAAGCCTGTTTCTAAATGGCCATCCACTATTCATTGAGCCTATGCTCAAAAATAGTTTCCTCGAGTGTCTGGGTCTTTTTCTTTTTTCTCCCCTCCTACCAGATAGGATTTCTCTGTGTAACCCTGGATGCCCTGGAACTCACTCTGTAGACCAGGCTGTCCTTGAACTCAGAGATCTGCCTTCCTCTGCCTCTCAAGTGCTGGGATTAAAGGTATGTGCCACCACTGCCCAGAAGCTCTTAATTTTTTAAAATGCTATGGCTATAATTTTCTTTGCTCTGTTGTGAATATGTGTTGAATATTTTTACTGCTGTTTTTTTTTTTTTGTTTTGTTTTGTTTTGTTTTGTTTTTTGGGGGGTTTTTTGGACACAGGATCTCCCTGTGAATAGATAATGCAGCCTAGGCTGGCTTCTGGCTAATACATCCTCCTGCCTCTGCCGCCTGAATGCTAGCATTACAGGTACTGGGATTTTAGATGTTATACTCCTGCCAGATCTGGAACTTTCTGAACATAGTGTGAGGACTCAGAGTGCTTGAGATTTGTATCTCCCAATTAAAGTTGTCTAACCTTCAGTTTTCTTTTTTAAGTTTGTTAGTATTTATTTAAAAATGATACCACAACAGATATTATATGAAAAAGATTTATTTGATGGAGGTGGAGAAAAAGAGAGGAAAAGGAAAGAGAGAGACATGGTGGGGCACCCCAGGAAAGAAAGTAAGGCGGAGAGAGAGCAAGAGAGGAAGGTAAGAGAGAGAGACAAAGTAGGGGGTTGGTCCTTTTATAGCTTGTGCATGTGCAGCTCAATTGTGCCTGCCACATACCTGGCGTTCCAAAGCCTATGACGATACCAAAGTGTTACAGCTCTTTCTTAAGCTGCTGTGCAAAGCATGGCAGAGGTGTGGGCCAAAGCCCATGCCTGGTCTGCTTGCAGCCAAGACACAGGCCTGGTGAGGCCCAGGCCAGGTGAGACATAGCCAGTGGAAGATAAAATGCTGAATGTGTATGAAATCAAGGGCAGAGGGAGGGATTTTGAGGGTGAATGTGTTTGATTCAAAGGGGCCAGGGGTTTAGGGATACTTGATTTGCAAGGAAGAAAATACAGTTCTTAATTATCCTAACTACAGTTGAAGGTCACCGTTTAAGACTAAGATCCCCTTAGCAGGGTGGACATTTCTAGGAATTCTTAGATGCTTGCTAGAGTAGTTTCTTTATCAGGGAAGGGTCTGGCCTGTAATCTATCCTGAGGGCTATGTGACGTTCTTACAAGACCTGGGGTCACCCAGATCAGAGGAGACTTTTAGAACCCCACTAAGAAAAGGGAGTCTATCACCATAGTCCTAGTACAAATAAATGGCTACCTTATCCAGCAGAGCCCTCCTCCCAACACACACTTTTTTTTTTTCCTTTTAGACTTATTTATGTTATGTATGAGTATTTTGCTTGCATGTATGTATGCATACCATGTGTATGCCTGGTGTGCTTGGAAGTCAGAAGAGAGCATCATATATCGTGGACCTGGGGTTACAGATGGATGTGAATTGCCATGTGGGTGCTAGAAAGAGATCCATGTCTTTTGCCAGAGTAACAAGCACTCTTAACTGATGAGCCATCACTCCAACCTTTTTTTTTTTTTTGAAGTCATAAATTTATTTGGTATCCACATATGATTTTTTTATTGAAACAGAATCTCACTGTTTAACACAAGCTGGCTTCAAACTTGTCATTTTCCTTCCTTAATCTCCCCATTGCTGGAAATACAGACAGTGGACACCATGGCCAGCCACTCCCTCCTGCTCTGTGCTGAGCAATGAACCCTGAGACCCCTTCATGCTACTGATTTTATGGCCACTCAGCTACATTCCCCACCCACTTTTTTTTTTTTTTTTCTGTTTTTGTTTTTTATTTTACAGCTAAGGCTCTTTCTTTCATCCCTTTTAGGAATATATCATCCGAGTACAAAGAGGAATTTCTGCAGAAAATAGCTGGCAGGTAAGCATTTCCATCTATTAAAAAAAATGTTTAAACTCTGGGTGTCAAAAATTATGGAAAAGTAAGAATACTCATGTACTGCAAATCATATTTTTTTTAGGTGTAAGCCTTTAGATTCCTTATTTTTTAAGTTTGTGTGTGTCTCAGTGTCTCAGTGTGGGTTTGTGCATGTGAATGACATGCCCACAGAAGCCTGAAGAGAAAGTTGGATTCCCTGGGACAGGAGTAACCGGCAGTTGTGAGCCAAGTGATATGGGTGTTGGGAGTCAAATTGGGCCCCTGCAAAAGCAGTATGGGCTTTTAACCTCTGAACCATTTTTTTAGCCCCATCAGTCTTTAGCTTTAAGACTGATATAAAAAGCTTTTTTAAAGTTCCTAGTAGTTTGCTTAATATGTATATGGTTACCAGGGAGAGTATCTAGAAAGCTATTCTCCCACTCAATCCAGAAACTTAAAGTTGAGTCTACCACATAAAAATGGTATAAGTCAGGTCTTCTGTACATTTTATGGACAAGTTTACTCTTGGACAACTGGTATTGGCTACTGTTCCTAAGGGAGGGGCCCCAGTTCTGCTTTTCTCAATTCTGGCCTTATGGAGAAAAAGATGACAGTGAGAACTAACGGTCTTTCCCATACTGGTTTGCTTGAAGAGGGTAGCTGCATTCTGTGTAGGCCTGGGTTAATGGTACCACCTTCTAATAGTCTTGTCTATGCCTTATGACCTAGCTCAGATCTTAGCTCCATCTTAGGCGGTCTCTGACCATAGTGCTCCAAACGTGCTTTTTTTTTTTTTTTTTTTTTTTTTTTTTTTTTTTTTTTTTTTTTTTTGCCTAAGATGTCAGACTGCTTTTGTTTGAATATCTATCCCGTCTGTTATCTGTTGAGCATATGTGAAGTTAGCACTGATTTAAACACATTGATTTACTCCACCCTTAAACCAGTCCTCGGTAGCAGTGTTATTTCCGCTTCACACTTTAGAGGTGAGTGACTGGTGTGAGGTCCCACATTTTAGATGTTGGCAAAGCAGCACTGCAATTCGCATTTTCTTGCAGTTAAACACTACCTTGGGCTTACTTGTTATCAGGGATATACTTACATATAACTCTATATGTATTTAGCAAGAATTGTTCTTCCAGACTAGTCAAGCTCTAATACAAGTTTTTCTATCTCTACTGTATTTCCATCTCTACTGGGGCACTTAACAAAAATGGGCTCTTGGACCCCACCTGAGCCTTACTGAATGAAACTCTCTTTAGGTAAGGTTCTAGGTGGTACCTAGGTAATTTATCTACATAAATTTGAGAACCAGTGATAAAGATTGAGGTTGAACTATCCAAATGCACAGTGATTTCCTTACCTAGATGTCTTCTTTATGGTTTCTAGCTATGATGAAACACCAAAACCAAAGGCAACTTGGGAAGGAAAGGGTTTATTTCACCTTACAGCCTCAAAGTCCATCATCACTCAGTGAAGCCAGGGCAGGAACCTGAAGGCAGGAACTGAAGCAGAGGCCACAGCGGAATGCTGCTTACTGGCTTGTTCTTTATGCCTTGCCCAGCCCATAATGGCACTGCCCACAGAAAACTGAGTTCTCCCACATCAATCATCAATCAAGAAAATGCACTACAGGGCAACATGTTGGGAGCATTCCCTCAATTGAGATTCCCTCTTCCCATATCTTTAACTGGTATCATACTGACATAAAAGTAGCCAGCACACCAGGGCTAGTAGGATTTGGCTATGTTCTGAGCAGTAATATCAGTACAACCAAGAGAGGACACAGGGCATAAAAGCTGGACGGTCTGCCAAGAGGTGAGGCTGCCTTACCTACAGGAATAGACTTAGCAGAGGTGGCATTTTGGTTGGATGATGTTTTATTCCCGACAAGGACAAATGGCATCAAAGCTTCCTTTTATTTTCATTTATGCTCAATAAAATTTCCCTTTTCTCTTGTAAATCATTAATCCACCCATCCATGTTCTCAGTTAATACAAAATATATTTGAAAGATATTTGACCTGAAAACAAGACAAAAAATTGTTTCAATTTCTTGATGCCTAGTGACTTTGGCTGGCGCTAACCAGCTTACTGAGGCCCGGGCAACCTCTGGGAGGCAGCTTGTGCACTTTCTGGGTTTATCAGTCACACAAAGTGAACTCTGGGCAGCACTGCTCCTCTGGCCCCAGCGCTCCAGCTCCGGAGCTGCAGAGAATCCCAGGATGCCCTTGCTGAATCAGAACACCGCTGTTTTGTCTTTTGCAGATTGTGAGAAGATACAGTGACTTCGATTTACTCAACCACAGCTTGCAGGTAAATGCTTCAAAGCATGGTGACACATGCTGATGGCTTATGATGTCTTACAGGCACAGTCTCCTCTCATGGATTAGGGCAGATTGCATAGGTGACTAGGGTTCGTGTAGGTGGATCTGGAGCTCCCTCTCTCTCTCTCCTAGACAGTTCTGCTGGGCTTCTCTGCAGTTAGTGCTACAGATCAGCATTAAACCATAACAGTAGAGACTCACCCTTTTACTGTTTGACAGTTTCTCTGAAGTGCACATTTCTAAATCTCTTGGATTTTAATATTATAGCATGATGCCCTTAATCAGAAGAAGGAAGCTCTTGAAAGGCTTTGTCTGGAAAGGCAGCCAGTGTAAGTCGTGGCTGAAGACTCCTACATAGGCTTCAGCACCATCAGAATCTTCTGCCATGTCAATAGCTCTCTCCCTGGTGGGCTGGTTTTCAAGGGCCGTGAATTACTAAATACTGTTGTGCTCATGCCATTCCTCAGATTTGAGTGGTAATAGAAACCTGTGAACCTGAGCCAAATCATCTGGGATGCAAAGGACTGCTCCTTTCATTGATGAGCTAGCTATCATATATGCCTAGTGACCTCTAATGGTATACACCAAGGTCAGGAGAACTTGTGGGTCATAAAGAGCACAACACTTCTTTTTCCTTCATGCAGCCACGCTTTATATCAGACTTCGGTGGAGCCAAAACATTTACGGTTAAGACCATGAATACTTTTTCTTCTGCAAAATGGCCCAAGCGTCTGCAGGGCACTGTGTATTTGCTATGTTTGTTGTGCCTTTGATCCTTGCTGTGTAGTTCTGGGGATTGAGTGTAGGGCCTTTCACAGGCTGTCAGGTGCCCTCTCTACAACTGAGCTTATCTTCACCCATTATTTTGTTTTAGTTTTAGTATGGACAGTTGAAATCTCTAGATAACAAACATGTTAACAGAGTTTGAATGATATTATTTCTTGCCATGTAGCCCTGGCTGGCCTGGAATTTATTTTTTTTCTTCATTGTAATTTTGCTTTGCAAAATTGGTGCTTCTGAGATGCATCTTATTTTAAATGCAAATATCCACATAGGATGTGGGAGAGTGTTTTGTTTTGAGATTAGGTTTCACATAGCCCAGGCTTGCCTCCAGCTTACTAAGTAGCCCAGTTTGACCTCGAACTCCTCCTGATCCTCCTGCCTCAAATGCTGGGATTACAGGAATGGGTCACCACATCTGGCAGTGGGAGGTTTTTATTCATCCAAGTAAACAAACAGAAGAAAGTACATGTAGCTTTTTGGCAATGAAATAGGTTAAAAACAACCTCAGAAACCTCAGAATGAAATTCTGACCATGGTTTTTGGTATCTGATTATTTTCTACAGATAAATGAATTCCTGCTGAGGGAGAGAAATACAATCCCAAATGTGGAGTGGGTCTGAGTCCAATAGGAACATACTTCAGTAAAACTGATAGTTCAGAATGTAAACTTGAATGCCAGCTGATATAATTACAAAAAAATGTTTAGGAAAAAAGATTGGAAGGAAATATGTCAAAATGTTGTCCGTGGTGACCCCCAGATGGCAGGATTATGGAATATGGGTTTTTCCCCTAGCTCGTTATAGCACTGGTACTTTGCAAGTCCTATGAAAACACATGTGAACTATATAAGTAGGAAAAATAGAAGAAAAGTCTGTGTTTTAAAAAAAAAAATTATAGTTGTATTTCACAGTAACAACACCGAAAAACCAGCACTGTGTTTCAAATAAATGCAGTATCAAATTAACAGCCATCTAGGGAGATTGTGCAGCAATGAAAAAGGAAAGGAGAAAGGGGTTGAAATGATAAGAGCTGGGCAGAGAGGGAAGGAATCTCAATTTGCCTTTTAGACTGGGAAGAAAACCCAGGCTCTGGCTGGCGTTATGCCTTGAAACAGCCATTTTTTCTCGTAGGCCTCATTTTTCTCCTTCTTAAATGAAGAGGCTGACCTCTGAGGTCTCTTATACTCCAAATATTTTATGATTTGAATTTTACTGCCTATTATTGACCTTGGAGAACCTATTTTATGGTGAAATAAATTAAGGGTTGTTGAGAATTTAGAACACTCACCGGCATATGATTGAAGCTAATTACAACTCAGTAAGATCTGATAATGGAAGGGAATAAGAAGAAATGTTTGGAGATTTTCCCTCCAGATAAACGCTGGGTTCCTAGAAGCATTGGTACAGGCTTTGTGTAGTTTTGGAGCTTTGGCTAGGCCAGAGGACCAGCTTCAGGGTCCACCGTGGGGACCATCACTGCCACTCTGAAGCAGTTATGAATGGAACCAGGGGTTATTCTGCTGCCTTTGGTTCCCCACCCTGATTCTCCTTTTAAGGGAAGTTGGTTTTTTTGTTGGTCTTTGTTTTTTTAAAGAGCTCAAGTTGGAAACAGATACAGGGCAAAGCTAGCAAGAGCGAGTTCTGTCCTGGCTTGAAGTGGCCTGTGTGAGGGTGGCCAGGGCTCAGTGACTGTTACTCTATGTACCTAGGTCTCTTTTCGCCCATCTAAGGTTTATCTTCTATGATAAGGAGAAAGTCAAAGGGGATACAAGCGTCTCTTGGATGCTAAACTTTTTAAATAGCAAGTTTTAAAAATTAACTCCCATTGCAGTTTTAGTACTTTGGGGAATAATTATTCCTCTGACACAGCAGAAACTATAGAATCACAGCGTGCACGAAAGAACTGATGATTTGGGACATCAGGCAGATTGATACTTTCCTAGTGTGAAATGAAGTCTAAAAATTAGACTGAGGGTTGGGGAGATAACCACCATGTTATCTCCCCAGATAACAAAGCACTTACCACAGAACTATGAGGACCAAATATAAACCTCCAGATCCCATGTAAACCCAGGTGTGGTAGTACAGGTCGGTAATCCCAGCGTCCCCAAGGTGTGATGAGAGGCAGAGGCAGAATTCCCAGCTTGAGGAATGTGAAGCAGAAAAAACTATAAGGCCTAATCTCAAATGAGGTGGAAAGTGGGTAGTTACATCCAAGGTTGTCTGTCTACTTCCACACATGAACTGTGACACCTACATACCTGGATACACAAGATACACACACATGCACAAGAAAAAAAGTAGCTTGGTTGAGACTTGGAGCTCTCCATTCAAGACAGACATTTTAGGCTGGAGTGTAGCTCAGCTGGTAGAGTGTTTGCATAGCATGCATGAAGCCCTGGGTTCATTTCCCTGACACCACATAAAGTACTGTGGCACACCTGTACTCCTAGCATTTAGAAGATGGAGGCATGAGGATCAGGTCAGCGTCATTCTCAGCTACCTAGAGAGTTTGAGACTACTCTTTCAAAATACACAAACAGAAAAGAGTCATTTTATCGAAGGCGTTCTTAGGTCTCCACCATGAACGGAAACTAGCCAGACTACTAGGGTTTGAACCCAGCACTGCTGTATAGGGTGACATAGGATTCAGTGGCTGTTCTTGGACAGATCAAGCAGTCAAACCTGTTCATATTAAATAAATAAATTCTTTAAAACCCTTGTTTAAATAATAAATTTGACTAAAAAGGGAATTTTTTTTAGTTGAAAAGAGTAAGTGAATAAGATAAATATTTCATCACAGAGAATTCGAATTAACTACTCATTTCCAGACATAGCCATATTCACCATTGAGTGTGAATCCTTTTAAGACAGTTTTCTTGGGAGCTGGAAAGATGGCTCAGAGGTTAGGAGCACTGGCTGCTCTTCCAAAGGACCTGGGTTTGATTTCGAGCACCCACATGGTAGCTCACAGTCCTCTGTAACTCCAGTTCTAGGGGATCTGATGCCTTCCTTTAGCTCCCATGGGTACTAGGCAGCAGAATGCACAGACATCAATTCAAGGGAAACAATTACACACATAAAATTTAAAAAAAAAATTTAGAAGTTTTTGAGGGAAAAAAAAGTATTTACTTCCATATATGAGTACAGTCATTAACATTAATACTTTTGTATATATACAAAATATAATATATACAGAATATAATTATAATTCTGTATAATTCTGTATATATATAATATATTTTATATATTATATATAATATATAAAATATATTATATTTTATATATATAATATATTTTTATATAATATATTTTTATTATATATATATAATAAAATATAATTCTGTATATATATAATATATACAGAATAATATATTCTGTAATTTCCTAAGATATTTTTAAAGGATACACCAGCTATGTTTTAGGCTATATTAATATATAGCCTTATTAATGCTTTCTGCCCTTGAGCAACATCAAATAAAATGATTGACATGCTGAGTGATGTGTTTTCTTTGTATGTATACAGTTTATTTAGCTAAATAAGAAACTGTAATCACTTCTTGGCCATTTTGCTAAGATTTTGTGAAGAAACTGCAACTGGATAAAGCTTAATTTTATGAGCATGCAAAACCACTTGAAACTTTAGTGTCATATGCCAAAAAGCTGTGCTATGATAGAAATTTATCTTATTGTGTCTGACACGTTTTCATAATTGTACAGGAGAAACGGGCAACCTAGAATTGTCAGCTAAATTTTTTTTATCATGTTGTTCTTGTTACTTTCTTTTTGTTTGTTTTGTTTTGTTTTCAAGACAGGGTTTCTCTATGTAGCCTTGGCTGTCATGGACTCGATTTATAAACCAGGCTACCCTTGAACTCAGAGAGATCTGCCTGCTTCTGCCTCCCCAAGTGCTGGGATTACAGGTGTGCAACACCAGGCCTAGCTTGTTACTTTCTGTTGCTGTGATCAAACACTGTTACCAAGGCAACTCATAGAAGAAAGTTTATTTTGGCTTACTTTTCCAGAGTTAGAGTTTCATAATGGTGGGGACAGCACTGCAGCAGGTGGCAGGAATGAAAACTAGAGCAGCAAGCTGAGAGCTCACACCTTGAAGTGCAAGCATGAAGCAGGGAGCAAACTGCAGGACTGCAGGGAGGCAAGGTTGCAGGTTCACAAAGCCCTGCCTCCAGCGCAGCCATACTTCGTCAGCTTCCCCAAACAGAACCACCAGCTACCAACAGGGACCAGGTGTTCACAAACATGGGCCTGGATGGGCCATTCTCAATCCAGCTACCACGTATGTCTTATATCCTTCATTTGACTCATTGTTGGCTGAAAAAATCTAGAGTGGAACCTGAGTTAGCCTTACCCCTTGAGTAGCTTACCGTGCATCCTTTTCTGAGTTCAAAATGCCCTTCTTAATAGACCTTACCCTCAGCCAATCAATATGCATGTCACTTGAATTGCTTTTTTGTTTTTGTTTTTTTGGTACAAGTGTCAAATAGCACTGTAGCACTGCTCTTTGAAAGTGACCTTGCTTTGTTTTTCAAGTTTAAAAATAGTCTCAAAAGTTTTAAGTGATCTGGAAAATGACAGTAGATTGAACACCTGCTTTTACATTTTTTCCTCCCTATCCATTATAAGCAATAAGAAATTGACCACACTCTCTCTCTCTCTCACACACACACACACACACACACACACACACACACACACACACACCCCAACAAATAGAAATGCAGAAGTGAAAACCACAGCAAAACTTTTTAGGTTGAAAACCCAAATGACAGTCAGGTAGTAGTGGTACACACATTTAATCCCAGCACTTGGGATGCAGAGGCAGCTGGATCTACTGAGTTCCAGGACAGCCAGGGCTATACAGAGAAATCCTGTCTCAAAACAAAAAAACAAAACAAAACAAAACAAAACAAAGAAAGAGAAAGAAAGAAAGAAAGAAAGAAAGAGAAAGGAAGGAAGGAAAGAAAGAAAGAAAGA